ACAAAATTTATTTCTGATGGCGTTCCTGCTGGTTATTTTTTTATTCAGGTATGATGAAAGGAGGCGATCAATGGACCCTGGTTATCCCAAATTGATTGCTACATACTTCCCGGGAATTGGGCCTAAAATTGATGCAGCCTTCTATTATAAGAGTAAGTAGATTAGGAGCTATGTAGATAACAGAAATCCTTTTTTAAAATACTAAGTCTTTCATACTTTTTTATATCTTGTATTCTTTTCCTTCCTTTCATCCCCTTCCACCCTTCGTGTGCTCTCATAGACTGGGGCTGAGGTGGGATGAGAGAAGCTTGAGTTTGTTTGAGTTTGTGAATGTCTTCAAGTACGGCCAACCTAAACAAAATCGTTCACTGGGTCAAGATATTTTATTGTTTCTTCCCATCCCTATATCTTTTTTACTTCCTCCATCAAGACTTCTCTGTGCCCCACCTGGACCCAATCTCCTCTCTTCCACTGTCAGTTCTCCACCTGAAGTGTGACTTTTCAAAAATATTTGCATCTTAATCATCAGCCTTTAAGACTAAACAAACTTTTCAATAAAATTAATGAAGATATTTAATGAAATGACTGGCAGTAAGCAGATATCTGGGAGCAGGATACCTAGCCAAGGGACCCAACATTTATATTCTCAAGTCAGACCTTCTCTAATCTAGATAATCTATAAAAACACAGATCTATGTTATTTTTTAAAAGAAATACAAGCAGGGGATTAAACTATTCAATTTGTTTTCATTTTTAGGACACTACTATTTTTACTATGGATCCAACGTAGTTGAATATGATGTCCTATCTCATGTCACCACAGAGCTGAAAAACAATGCCATGTTTGGATGTTAGGAATGATATAATTCATGGTGTTTATAAACTCACTACAGTGTATTACATATTTATGGCATACTTGTTATGTGCCCAGTGTATCATTAAATAGTAACATGTATCATAAAATAAGGTAAAATCTATAGACTATAGACAAATAGTCATATAAACAAGTGCTTATACAAAATACATATTTTCATTTTGAAAATTATCATTGTCAATTTTTACTTGAGTCTGCTATAAAGTTTGAAAATAGACACCTTCAAAGGCCAAGAGAATATCTTCATTCCTAATATCTTTGAACTCAGAAT